TTTTAATTCTCTTTCTCGTTTACTTTCGTCGCCGTTAAACGGGATTAAAAAGCGCGGGCGCAATTATTTGGTCGGTACGAGGGTGGAACCGGGTCGCAAATTGTCCTGGAAGATAATTGAACAAGTGTAGCGGTCGTGTTGTAACTTATAGTCGTTGTTGTTAAGCTTCGCAATGGCTGTTCGTGTCTGTTCACCGCAGGGATGGGCAACGCGATACCATTAGGGCAATTATTTTATCGCTACGGGGACGAAAAGCTATCTTTCTAAATTCGTGCGTTAACACTGGAGGATCATTTAATAGGTCGACACATAAATAATATTATTAATTTTGAAATCGGTCGTACGTATTTTGAGATTGTTTAAAAATAATTAATTTCGAAACTGCACCGTTCGTCGACTCGGATTCAATTTCGTTGTTTAAATTTCGTTGATGACGTTGCCGGCGATTTTTCTGTTTTTAAATTGAAACTGGGTATGCGTGGTCGACGCTCGTTGGAAAGAAAAAAGCGGTCGTAATAAAATTCCACCGAATGTATAAAATGGGCTACCGTTTCGGCAAATTCGCTAGAAACGTCGGTTAACGTGTACACTCCGTTCTGTGAATAAACATTTATTAATACCGCGGTACAGACGAAAGAAATTAAAGCGTAGCAAACTGTTAAATGGTAAATGTTCGTGAATTTCTGAAAAATTCATTGCGAACAATTCGGTGAGAAAATAATGATTCTATTTCTTTCTCGATAAAGAGCATGAAATATTATTATATAAATTTGGAATTCTCAATTATGCAGAAAATTTTAAATTCTCGATGGTCCTCTGCGAATAATCTAGCAAACAGTGTGTGCAAGGTAAATTGAAATTGAAAAGACAAGCAGAGGCAGAATAAAAACAAATTGCATTGCATGTTGATCTTATACATGATCATATTATACTATCCAAGGAAATTATCGAATAAATAGAAATCTACTTCGTATGCAACTCATTTTGTACACGTGGAAATTCAACAGCGGCAGCATTCTACGTGAAAGTGGTTTACTTCTCTGGCGAACTTCCGAAGAGGATATTCGTTTGAAAAGCGTATCCCAGAAAGCTTGACAGCCACGACAGCCATCCGAACTCATACCTCGGTTGTATATCCTGAAATCCTTAGACAAGGTTTCATGGTTTCACGTCGACGCGTTGGATTATTCCGATACAAAGTGACGCAAAGAAAAACGTAAGATGGAAGGCGAAACTATCACATCGGATTAAACAAATAACGTTAGAACGTTAGAACGTTAGAAAATCCAATATGTAATGTAGGAGAGGGGAGAAAAATTATGATTGAAAGGTAAATGACCTGCTCCGTTCCTAGTTACGCCAATGGTGTCAGGGTTTGGAAAATGTATCAAAGAGAGTAACTGCGGGTCATAATGAAGAAAACAAAGTAAAACGATGGTTCGAAGGCGAAAGATGGGAAGTGAGGGAATGTATCGGGAGCGAGAATAAAAGCAAAATAGAGAACTCGAGTAAATTACGAAAGGTAATATGTGTATGTAGCATGCGAAGCAAAGGCAAAGTCTATCACAGAATACGACGGGCGAGAAGCTTCTCGTTTTGCCCGATCGGACCTCGGAAACAAATGTCTGCCGTCATAGCTGTGCGCTCGCATTTATTTCCACCGAACGGTTTTTCGATTTGTCTATTGGCGATCGATCAGACCGGAACCACCAGATCGTTTGTCGAATAGACCGCAGCATACGCTTTTTTTCCCATCTCCTCTTGCTTGCAGGTAAAAACAACAGCCGTGGCAGCATTCGGTTAGAAATAGGGTCAACAAGTGTCGGTATACGTGGACAGGTGTTGTTCGTTTAGGAGGCTGGAAAAACTCAGTCATTCGTACGTCGTTTCTTGGTTATGCGTTCATAATTAGTTTAATAATTAGATGGTGGAATATTAAATGGTTCAGTTTGATGGATTCAAATGGTTCTTCTGGAAATTTGTTAAGAATCCTTGAAATTTTCGAGGATTATTTCTAGGGATTTTTTACACTTTTCTTTTCTTCCGCAGTTTCATCTCTTTTTCGCTTTTTGTATCTCTGATGTTTTCAAAATGAAGAAAAGGTTGAATAAACTTTGTATAGCGTACGAAAATTTATACATCCATGTGATGTACCAGACAGATTAAACGTCTATATCCATCGCTCTCTGTTATCATTGAAACTCTGTAGAGGATGATAGGAAGGTGGTCAATTTAAAGGAAAAATTAAGAACACTCGAGATTCAACGGAGCAAAATTCCGTCGAGTGGTTTGCCTGATTTGAATATCGTAGCATAGAAGCATAGGTAGAAGAGAATGTGTTTCAGGAAAGCGGCACCGGGAATCGGCAGCAACAGCTACGCGAATCACGTTCCTTCTGCCTCTCATTTTCTCCGTCTTTATTTCTAGCGGATAAGTTCGCTGAATAGAGGAAACCTTACAAAAGCCGTGGAACCATAGGAGTAGCAGCTTTTTCATCCCACTTTTGATCAGAGTCGAGGAAAGATCTGTGATGACCGATACGCGAGTATACGGGTCATCGTTTCATCGAATACCTCGATCGTTCAGAGGTTAGAGATCAAACTGTTCGATACGGAGCACAATGCGAACGACCTATTTGTTCCATGTTTCAATGTTGCCTTTTAATTCCATTAAAAGTAGGGAAATAGTTAACGAATAAATAAAAATCTAATAAACATCTCATTGAAGTAATCAAATAACATAGATTCGTGATTAAAATAATTATCATCAATAATATTCATAATAAAAACACGACATTAGAATGCAATCAACGAACGCAAATCAAAATTTATCTCATTTAGGTATTACACGTTCCGTGTAATTAACAATCCTTTAGACAACCTTCTCATTCATCGGACCAAATGAAAATAGATCGTGCCGTGGCAGATGTAATGTTAATAATTAATAATAATCATCCACGATATCACGTAGCATTAATGGAGGGGAACACGTGTGTGTGTGTGTGTGTGTGCTGGATAGGCGATGCAGAGGAAATTTAATAATCGGAAACGAACCGATGGTAATACGTCGTCAAAGTAGGGAACGTGCACAAGTGGCACGATTCAGTTATTCAGCGATTCACTAGAAACACCCTAATTCCTCGTGTGCCCAATGGTTTACACGGGGGCAGCCGTGCTACCAATGCAATTAATAACTTCCAGCTGGAGAGCCCGCGGCTAATAGCGGTTAGTTTGTCGGGTCTACAGAGGTTTATTGAGCAAACATTGGTCGAAACTACAATTGCCCGAGCTTCCACTGCCAGAACCGATCGATTCGTTGCTACAAGACGTCCGCCCAGAAAAACATTCAAGAGTAAACACATATCTGTCCATCTTCCTATCGGAAATTTCCATATCGGACGCTTCCATAAAGATCCGTAGATTTTTCGCATTTTCATACATTTTCATACCCTCTCAAAGGACGTCTCAGATCTAATTAGCCCCACTTAATTTATTTTTCTGAATTCAACCGATTAACGAGCATGAAAATGAATAAATAAAGAATGTTAGAATACTAGGATATTAGGATAGTACAGCAGAAGGAAAGGAACTATTGGTAAAAGTTAAATACACGTGTACAAGTATGCAGTATATCAAGAAATCGATGGTAAAGACCAATTTAACCGTTCGTTTCGAATAATTCGTGACAAGAACTAGCTCGTCAACCGGACAAAGTGAGTCGCCGAGAGGTAAACCACTTTGAACGACGTATGTAGACTCAAAGGGCACGGTAAATCAGACGGTCTGCTCGAAGTCAAATAGAAGATTGTTACCACGAAATTCCACGTGATTCAATTTGACCGGAAGTTCGACCGAAAACACGATTCTCCGTCGAGTTACCGGTGCCGTCCTAATGAATCTATCGGCAACTCTTGAACTTTCAATCCCCTTCACCTTTCTCCCCCTTCCGACAACCCTTTCATCGACTCCATCACCCCTCGTATCCCACCTTAACGTTCAATTCCAACATGTAAGCGGGAGCTTTTGTACCTGTGAGCCAGGTACAAGCAATTTCTCGCATCGTAGCATCGAAACAGCTGTCGTTTCTCTTTAGACTTTCGAAATTATTTCAGTGTTTCACGCAGGTGTTGCTGGCGCACGGTGTTTGCCAGTTCAGACGAAAGAAAAACTTTCTTTTCTCCTGTGCCTCGCGAAATCCCTGCAATCTGGCGGACTCTGAAGAACCGCGATAGAGACAAAAAGTTGATGATCAAAGTTTAGACGGTCTTTTGTACCTGATATATATATATATCGCTACGATTGCTTCTGTCAGCGGGCTTTACAACTTATTGTTAGAAGATGGATAAGTGTATTTCTATATCTTCAACGTGCTCGTGTTTAATCTAAAATAAGGACATACTTCAGATTTTCCAAATGGTGTAAATCCGAGCCGAAAGTGGTTGGGCAGTTTTTCTAGGACACAGACATTGTGGATGGTCGTAGTAAAGCATTGATCTCTGCCTAGGGAGGCTTTGTGTCTCCGTGAACCCGATTGGGTCAGCCCCAGGCAACCGGAGGTGTTATTTCGAAGTCCAGAGGGATTTCCGTAGGCTTGCTAGGATCGTTTGACATTGTGCACCGAGGAAACCGGCTATAATTAACGACCGCATTCGTCTTGTCCGGTGCTTTATCTTTAATTATCATGCGATAAGATTCAATTTCAGATATCAATTTCGACCCTCCTCGTACGTTGCCCTTTATAACAAATCTATTTCATGTTTCTTTTCTTTCTTCGCTGAATTAGAATTAGGATTTATGCAGAACGTTTCTCACAGTATGGGAATAAATAAGAATGAAAATAATAATTATCATAGATTGTCTTAGCGATTAAACATTGTAATACCAAATGTATTTAACAGAAATCATAGAATATTTTATTGATTTTTATTAGAGAGATATTAATAAAAAATGATTCACGGAGTCATGGAATTTGGAATAACGATTGTTGTTTTTGAATTTTAGATCAAAAAGGGAACAGAGGTGCCCTGTTTCAAATTTCGAAACAGAAATGAGCTGAGAATCAGCTACGATGTTGAGTCGTCTTTCGGCCGTGGTGGCCTCCATTTTGGTTCACCAGCTACACGTTTTGTGGGCCGCCACTTCATTAGGTAAGTAGACAACACTGTTTACTTTCAAAAATAATTATGCAATTATTTTAATTAATATTTGCAATTCTGAAAAAACTCGGTATTTAGAAAAATGATGGCTTGACTGGAAATAGTGATTTGAGTCACTTTACGTTGCACGGTAAGGTGATATAATAAAAAGAAAGTTTGATTAGAATTTGATTCATCCTTTTAGTGGGTGATGGTTCTGGTTAGTCCGTGGTGTCCCTTATCGAAAATATCGAGGTGTGGTCGTGAAAGTCGGTTACCCAGTGAGGAAGCAGATTATACGCGTTGAATAACGAGCCGTAGGTCGAACGATCGGTTTCCAGACATTGTCCTATAATTTTCCAATTAAGGCATTGGATTCCCATAAATCCTATGACCACCGATAGGATCCATAAATTTGAAGGTGTATTGAGCGACAAGTTGCGTTCTGTCCAAGCCACTTTTCAATCCAAGACAATTTTTAATGTTGAAATTATCCTTTCGATGTATGAAACTGATTCATTTCAAAATTGTACATTTAACTTTAAATTAATACTTTAATAATGTAGTTACTTCTGGCTAGTTAGATCTTTTCTATAGTATAACTCCACAGAATGTAGGAGTTACATCTCGCCATGATTGTTCAGGGATTTCCGGGAACATGATAAGAAAAATGTGTCCATAAAAATTAATCGAATAACGGTAGCTTTTAGTCGCTACATGTTGGAATTTAAAAAATTTTTAAAAAGATTTTTAAAAAATTTTTCGATGCAAAGTTGAAGCTATTTTTACTTTTTTATACGATACAATGAAATTTTTATTTTGTGATGTTCAAGCGAACTTATCATTATCGTGAAAAATTATTTTATTTAACGTCTTGGCTGAAAAATAGCCTGTCGAGGAACTGTCATATACTCCTTTTAGAAATCCTCACATAATTGGTTAATACTTTTTGTAAGTATTATCTGATTGTCTATTCCAAAACAATTCTCTTTAAATCGCACGCTCTACTCGCGCTTCATTTGGACCCGTTGGGTAATCCCACGGGCGACATTCCCAAGACGTATTTCGAAATCCTGACCGGTAACCGGGTTTATCCTTTCGTAGAGATTATGTGCTTCGTCTTTTCTAGCGGATATTAGAACTTCCTTCCTTCCTTCCTTCTTTCCTTCTTACCTCTGTGTGGCATACCGTGAGAATTCAGTTCGCGAGATTGGTCCTGCCAGAAAAAGACGAAATAGGGGCCAGTTCTTTGCCGTGGCTGATAAATTTCTCCAGGATTATCCCGTCGTTCTTCAAGAAATAGTTAGAACCTGGAGGAAAGAAGCCAGAGAGGAGATTGAAAGGGTCCGAAACCTGGGGAATCAGAGCGATCAGCCGAGGAAAATAATTTTCGGACGCGTTAAAAAAAAAAAAGAAAGGTATCCCCTCGGTGTTCGAGCTGATAAAAAGTATTCGTCGCTCGTGTTCCGGAAGAGAGGAAACCGTTCGAATCGCCGAATTCGATGGAAAAAGATATTGCCCTTTTCGTGTGGTCTTTCGAATTCTACTTTTCTTCCCTTTTATTCACTGTGGTTGGCCTGTGTGTCTCTTTCGACGCGCCTTTATAACCGACGAGATTGCTCGGTTACCACGGTTCCGGTTCAAAGGAGCAGACACGTTGGAAACTGACTTTATTACTTCTTCCCTTTCGATAGTACATAACGCGCCAAGAAAGGTGTGAACCTTTCTATGTTTGAATCGAACGCGGTATATTTTATTTTCTCAAATATGGGAAATGGAGTCTACGTTTAATTTGAATATGGAAAATTGGTAAAAGTAAGTTACATCAGTAGATTACACTAGCGCCAGTAACTTAATTAGGTGTACTCAGTTTTTCCTCCCTTTGCTTAGAAACTACACATGTATTTACTTACCTACCTTAGTAAAAATGTACAACCGTGCGACTAAATGTTCAAAATTTATTCAAAGAAAATTTCACAAACGCTTTCGTGTCGCACATTTCAACCGAAATGATAATCGGTTATGCTTTTACGGTAGTGCTTAACACGGTTTTTAAACGTTTCATTGAATCGAGGTGGAAATATACGGAACATCGAGTCGGAATGATAGCATTAAAGCGTGGCGGTTAAATTAACAAATGGAGGCGAGTTTCTCCTGGCCGGAATACAAATGGAAGAGCACGCGCGTGTTTCAATTTCGTCTGTGGCGAATGCTGCGCGCGATCGCCGTGGGATTTATGCAAGAATTGTATCGATATATGCACGAGCACACGCGTGTCGTTATGGTTGAACCGACCAGAGAAGCACGCAGCTGCGAACTAAAGGTGATTGAATTAACTCGCGCACCGTGTTCACCGACAAAATTGAATCGTGATGAAAGAACGATTAGACGGAGATATTAAGAACACCTTTGTTGCAATCTACCGAAGAAAATTTCAAAAAACGATGGTGCAGTTGGAAAATTATAACGAGTTACTGCGTTAGTGAATTTTTTCTCCCCTCTCCTACACAATAAAATTTTATCTATTTATTTTTGAAACACACTGTACATTTAGTGTTTTCTTCAAGCGTACCCCAGTTCTGGTATCACGAAAGTCTCAATAATTGTACGGATCAGGAGGAATATCGACTGCTGTCATGTTTCATAGATACATACATATATTTTTTCTCCGGTTCACATGAAAACGTTTATTTTAACGAAAGTTCGCTGTTGTTTCTCTGCTATCTGGTTCGTTGTGTAACCTTCCGAGGAGAATACATTTATGTGCATCGTCTTGGAAACTCGCAGCAGAGTCGCGTGTGCTCGCTGCTGATAAGGCCATTCTATCCGTCGACAAGCGGCGAGCAGAGTTTGCCTTCTACTCGGTGGAAAGTGAAAAACTTTTCCACTGCAGTACACTCGTTCTCCCAAGTTCGCGATTGTTTCCATAGTAATTCGATTTTCTGCGTCTGTTACGCTAACGACGTGGTCGCCGCTCGCTGTTTGCCTTCTCTACAAACATTTTTGTTGCACCGCATGAAAATACGAGATAAAGTCACGTCTGACATTGATCACGACTTTTCACTACTTAATTTATAACAGTGTCGCCTGAGAAGTTTTATTAGCTATCATTCTTACAATTCTACTTCGCAACCTGAATGCTGGATTATTTTCTTACATATTTCTCTAACTATTGAATATTATAAAATTTATTCAAATGAATTCAAATTTCAAAGTCTTCAAATTTGAAACTTCGCTCCTGGAATGTTGGGTCATTTTGATCTAGCATAAATGATATATTCCTACATGTATTAATCAACTATAGTAACCTTATATCCGACTACCTCATCGCTCATAGAGAATCCGTCTTCTGAGAGTTAATGAAGAAGTGATAGAGCTTTAATTAGATTTAATCGAATTCAATTACCGTGACATGTTTCTTCATCTTTCATTAAAATCTTCATTATCCGACGGAAGTTATAGAACATGGTTCGATTAATCAAGCCTCCATGATTCTATTCATTTGAATATCTGAGAGTATCGTGCATTAATTATAACAGGAAAGGGGATGGGATAGGGAGTAGTAGTAAATTTACCGGTACGTTTTAATTATATCGTCGTACCTATGTGAGGTTAGGACACGTATAATCTGATTTGAAATTGTTTCAGGTGCTAAGCCATTTCCCGGACTGGAAAACCTGCCGAAATCGTTCTGGGATGAGCTCAGCTCGCCTTTTACCGAGGTAAGTCAGCTGTATAATCGAAACGAGCAGTTCGAGTGTCTTTTCCGTAAGAACACCAAAGTATTTTTAACACCTCTCTGTTTATCTTTTCTTCTCTTACAAAGCAACATCCTCTTCCTGACACCTTTTCAGATCTCTTAAATATTTTTGTAATCTTAAAATAACAAATGCTTAAAATGTCAAATGCTTCTTATTGAACTTTTGATAGAATATACAAAAAAATTGGTGAATTTTTAAACCCCTGTTCAGGTGATTTTCAGAATATCTTATCCATATTTTTGCCTAGCAGTGTCTTTCTTATGATTGCAGAAAATCTGAAAGAAGAATGATAGAAGAGTATATTAAATTCAACTTTTTGGTGCCATCATTTTTCTCCAAAGTATAATATAAAACCGAATCCAAGCGTGTGACCCACCTTGAAACATGTTATCCCAAGTAATATGATTTCCTTGGAAAAATATACTAGTTTGTTTCAGAACCACCTGTAGCACCAGCTAATATTATTTTCCTCTTTCTTTGTACAGTTGAAAGCTTTTTGTCCAGACCATGACATTACTTTTCTCTTCATAAAAGTTTTAATAAAGAAATTTTATTTGTATTTATCACGCAACAGAAGAGTTCTTTCACAATTACGAGAAACGATATCTGTACGAAAAAGGAACGTTGGCACGTTTGATAAACTTTTTGTGTTCTCTTTTAACTTACAGGTATACGAGGTGGAAAGTTTTGCGACAGAAACTAGCGGCACGCCCGAGCCAAGACCCTTTTTCGAAGATCCAGAAAGCAACATAACCGTGCAACTCGGTGCTAAAGTGTACATGCATTGCAGGGTGCAGAACTTGCAGGATCCTCTCAAAGTAAGTCTTTCGGTCTCTTTCCTTTTTCTCACTTTTTAGCAACCATCAATTCGATTTGCGCGAACAGTGGAAACAAACGTTGTCACGCTTTTTCAAAATACGAATAGTGGAAGTAATTATAAATACATAGGTGATGATCAAAAGACTCGTTTACAACTAGGGGGTAGGATTAAATTTAATATATAATTCTTTCTTCCTAATTTATCCCGATTAGTAACGTATGTATAAGTTTATGAAGAGTAAATTTAAATGTTATATAGGAAAGTTGATATATCAGATATGCTCTGATTCTTTCGTAGCAAGTTTTCAACTATCTTCTCTGTTTTCTGTTTTCCTGCATTACTAAAAGCTTTGCGTCGTTACCTCTGTTTTCCACGAAGATATTTCGTTGCGTTTTCTTCCGTTTCGCATCGTCGGGTCTTTCTCTTCAGATAGGACTGGCACTTTAACCCGTTACGAAAGTTCCAACGAAGAAAATTCCACGAATGGCGACCCAAATATTTTCCTCTTAATTTCGTGGCAGATCGACCAGAAAAACCTTTATCGATGTTAGATACTCGTGTACCTTTTATCGAGGTAAATGTAACTGAACGGTGCATTACCCACAAGTTAGAGTAGTTTTATTTTATTGTAATGGAGCTTGTATCGGAATGAAGGGAAATTGTTCGTATCGATTCAACGTCAGTTTGATTTTAATAGGAAAGATAACGAGGTTGATTGAAATTGAAGCGTGAAAATGGTTATTAATTCTTTGATGAAGCTTATCTATCATGGTCTTCTCAATTTGTTCAAATTACAGGTTAATTACTTAAACTGAAGGCGAATAATTACATCATTTTATGAATTAAACTTCAATTAGGGATACAGTTTCTAATACCTCTAATGAATTAAGTGAGTAATTTACTTAGTCAATAAACAATTACTTACAGTTTGAGTTAGATTACTGATTGTGAAATTTGAATTTTAATGTTTTCAATTGATATCAAAACTTCGTGAGACAAGCAAAAGTTGTTTCCATTGTCACATTGACGGCTCCATAGAACAGAATGACGATAAAAAGACGATCGGTGGCAAGAAGAAGGCAGTAAATGTTTCTGTGCACTTATTGTTGCGGCATGACCGATAAATCGTCGAATTCAGCAATTCTGTGCAAAGTCGTAGCGACGATGCTTTGGAAGCTGTCTCGAAACGGGGAAAGCGGTTCCGTTCACGATTACTGTTTGGAATTCAATCTTTCTAAGTGGAGGAACGTTAGATCGATCGAAACAGGCTGTTTCATTGCGTTCGAACGAGAACTGCCAGCTTTCTGTTTAGTCTGAAAATTGTGCACAATTGTTTCCGAATTCTAATAGAACGAATGGTACGTTCCATCAATGGACTTGGAGAAAATTTTTGAATCTCCAAATTTTCTGTAATGTGATTTTTAACAAGTTAATATTGTTCAAAATTTAACATAAGTCTTAGACAATGTAGCAATAATATCTTCGTCTCTGATACTTTAAAACATCATTTTTCTTTGAGTTTAAGATAAAAAGAACGTGATTTTCAACTTCGATTGAAATCAAAACTTGGCAATGTACCAGGAGAAAACTTTATTCTTTGTTCCAATTATCCCGTCGAAAAAACTTGCTTCATTAACACAAAATAATATTAATGGTGTTGTTGATATCTGGATTGTAGTTACGCTCGGATGAAATGTAAATTTTCTTTCGTTATAAACTTCGAACTACAGACAGAAGTTAGCGTCGTTTTGCTTCGGGCAGTTAATAATTTAAAAACTGCCTAGTTGACTGCGAGAAAAATCAAATTAACTTAATTATTCACGGTATACGAATTACGTGGCGGGATCATGGGGGTAAACCACGAAGACGTTGCAGGAACGTCGACCCGTTGAAAAACTTAATAAATCCAAGATTCTATGCTTTACCAACTTTGTTAAGAAGTCAACCAAACAATTATCTCGGCAGCACCGACGATATTCGCCTCATTAAAAAGTTCATAAATTCAAGATTGCAGTTGTTCATTCATTAATTAAATTATATTATAGAGCAATAAAGGGTGAGCGTAAAGGCGTACATTCGCAGGCACTGATGAATTGTCAGTTTCTCAATTTGAAAATGTACCGTGCAGAGATGGAAAGAATATTAGCTTGACAGCTAATATTAGGTGTCCATAAACTCTCTCTTCAGCGCGCACTTTCATAGACCCTCTCTTTCTAATAGCAAAATTCTCAGAATAGATTGTCATTAATTGCCGATCTCTAAAAGGAAGCTTAAAAGTTTCGAATAATAATAATAGAAAGTTGGTAAATCTAGAACACTAGTTGCAGAAGCTCGAGTTTCCTAATTATGTATCGCAGAACTTTTCGAGTGTCGCAAAACCGTAGGCAAAGTCTTCAGGTCGACTGCTGCCTCCTAGAAGATACACGTTCCTGAAACTTCTTCCGCAAGTCTGTCAGTTGTCTTAAGAGGTTGGAAACGCGACTCTATCTGAAACTTCATTAACAGCAACAAAAGACCGTACTCTACGGCGACGATCAATAATTTTAATATAATGGGACACTTTAGACCCGGCTGATCTCCTGTTATGCCCGTGTTTTGATTGACTCACGCGGTGGGAGGTAATCGACCCATGTCTAAAGTTCGTTAAATGTCCTAGTGGTTTCTCATTATGTTCGTAGAGGTGATTATTTAGCAAATGACAATGCTGTTATTTGTCTATGTTAGAATTGGACAATTTGATACCCCTTGGATAGTTATTTCGTCGTTAAATTTGAAAATATTATGTATTAACAATTTTAGCTCTTTATACGAGAATTTGTAGAAGTTTAAAATCTACAAATTTTCGATTAACATCTAACGAACATAATAATAGGTACATGTAATACTAAAATGTCAGTTCAAAGTAGAAAATCAGATTAGACGAAGAATCAGCATGATTGGCTAAGTACATGTATCTCATGAACTGATGTTGGCAGTGGAAGTCACTGGAAACTAGCTACTTTCCCACTTATAACGACCAGAGGTGAACTTTTGACGGTTCTCTCGTCTAACAGCCACTAGAAGTTTGTACACGTGTAATTAGCTTAACAAGTAAGCCGATGCTACGTTAATTGCCTGCGAGCGAATCGCGGCTATGCAAAAGAGAGAGACAGAAATACTGGTGAAATTGTTACTGTGATGCTCTAACTGTTGTTTTGTTCTCTACCAACTTATGCAGTAGCACAGCTAGAAAGGTGAGAGGAGAACCAGAAAAATCAGTTGCCCCATATTAAGAAATTAAAATTCCTTTTTCTATACGTACTGGAATGTTTCTGAAAATTTTAGATTACATTGCTATGAATAATCAAAAATAAAGAAAATCGGATTTAACATTATAAGCTTTGAAGAAAATTTGAAAAAAGAATTTCTGATATCATGGGTAATGGATTTCTATGGAAATTGAAGGGTCACATAGGGGTGGCATGATAGTCAACATGTTAAACCGCAAATTATAAGGGCATACGGATGATGCTTCTTTTTTTTTCATCCATTTTTCCAGATCAACAGTGGTTAATGTGATTTATGTTAATATTGACTGTGTGGTAGAAACGTTGGTTCAGAAAGGAGAGGCGGTAGAGAGGGTGCTCGAAAGAAAAGATATGACTGAGACGAGGGTGAGGTTAAAGAGGATTCGGTATCTTTGTTTGCTGCTGGATTAATTCGAGCTCAAGGCTACTTTTACTCGGACCCATCTCTGATCTTCTCTCATCCTTTGGATTTTTTTTCATATCTCGTTTTCGCTTCTACGGTTTAGGGCTACCCTCGTACCGAAGGATTTTCCAGGACTTCCTTCATCCTGCTAAATTCCGTCAGTAGTTTTGAAGATATTTTGTGCAGAAATCATGATAATTATGAATTAGAAAAGTTTCTTACAAACGTTTTGTACAACAATAGTTATAATTTTATTCTGTTAGGAAGAATTAATGAAAGAAGAGGGTCAACTTTGTTTACTTTTTAGTGGAATACTGTATTTTATTTGTCTGTAGATGATAGCTCGGAGACCAACGATTCCACAAGCGTCCAATTTGGAATTTATGACCCCCAGGCTGTCCAACTTTAGATCTAACCGTACGACCTCGAGGTCATTCAACCTGAGGCTACGATTTCATTCTAAATAGTTCATTAACTTGATTTATAAAATCTATAATTAAACTATTACCGAAAATAAATTTTGTCTATTTATAAAAGGAAAGATTCATCGAGTATCAAATTGTAAAATCTCTTCATTTTTTATTTCACGTGTCCTGGACACAGATTGGAAGAGTTAAAAGAGTCGAACAGATTTATACCGTGGAAGATTCATGTCAGACAAGTTCCTATCCTAGTGTTTGCGTTACATCAGTGCTGTCGATCTCGGCTACGGTATAATTTTTCCATAAGCTAAATCAGCTGTCTCTGTAAATTGTTTAACTTTATATCTCTTCACCGAGCGTAGGTACTCATATTCCATCTACTCGCCACGTCGTCAAATTTTTCATCTCCCTGTGTCCATTGACGAGGATACTTTTTTCGAAGGATAATTCATAACTCCAGTGATAACAACCGCGATTCCATTATGCTGAAGTACTCTCAGAAAGAAAAAGACTGAGAATTTTTTCCAGCGAGATTGAATCCATGACACAAAGATAACTTTGTCAGCGGATTTACCGCGTTGAATATCATGGTAGAAATAACCATAATTGGTAATGGAATAAGTAGCATAATATTGATTAACAAAAACTGTATTTATAAATTATTATATTTCTATAGATACTTCAGTTTCTTTGCGTTAATTCAATGTGTATAGAATAAACTACTTTCAGTAATTACTAATTAGTAAAAGACTATATGTATAACGTAATTAAACAGAGCCTCGAGTAATTTGCAAGATCAAAGAGCCGTTTCTAAAATTTTGAATTTATACTTGTTTTGTAGCTACAGTTTTTTTTATATATTAATAAGTTCGGTAAGGATATTAATAAGTTGGCTTAAGAAGGAGTTGGAAAGTTTTGGTTATCACCTGAAAAGACTTAAAGTTTCCCTTTAGTGGTTAGCTAAATTTCTCCCTTACCTAAACGATGCTTGATTTATAATTTATAATGAACTTACAAGGATGTTGCATCTCTTGAAAACACGAACAAAAGTATTCAAAATCATCTTTTTTGTGTCTAAAATAAAAATATAATCTTCTACTGAGAAAAAAACCCATGCAAGCGCATCACTGCGCTACATTGTCATTTTCTTCGGGACATTACTATTTTTCCTGGGGAAGTCCGATTTAATTGCAACTGTACAACTATACTGATGGTAATATGTGGTGATTTCCAATTATGTATATTGAAATATTTAACAGTGTGTGAGAGATACTGATCATCATCAGAGTTAAAATTATTCCAATATACATATAATGACAAAACTATTTCAATGAATCTGGAAAATTTAATCAAATCTTCTTCCATTAATAATTCATTAATCATACCAATTCATTATCGTTATATTTCAATTTCTTAATTGCTGTTATTGAAATGAAATTTTGTCCACTTCCAAATACGAAGTCTAAACATCTAGAAATTATTATCAACGAAAAGCATCCGTTCCAATTAAATTCAATCATGAAATTGAGATTGTAAATAATTCGCGAACAGACAATTTGAAAGATATAAATCAGAGAGTCAAAGGAATAGCTTCCAATGAATTTAATTAATTTTAAATGAGATTTAAATAATTACAAAAAGCAATTTAATATTTTTGACTAATAAAAAGGCAATAATTTCACTTCGGGCCTTGCAATCTCTGAGACAGCTCTGATAGTCTCTCATAGTTTGACAGCTCTTTTGAAGTTATAATTTTTATCGCACTAGATTATTAACGCACCGTTAATTGGACAATTGTTATTTACAAAGTGTAGGTTCAAACAATGTAAAATTTAGTCGAGGGAGTAATAAAGACTAAAACAAGGAAGAGCTTTTAAATCGTGAAACGAAGATAACCTTAGCATAATGAGCCTATAAAGTTCTAATCAACCACCGAGGGCTGAATAATAGTTCGGATATAGAACGCCTCAAGGTGCTTCTGCAAACTCTCAAGGAGATTAGATGGGACAGCAGAGGACTTACAATAATTACAATGTCGTATCCAGAAATACACTTCCATTTGACTTTGAGATATTTGCGTGCGTCGAACGAATTCACCTTCCACGATATAATTAAGCTGATTAGATGGATCCTACAATAGACGCATCAATAACGAGAAAAACGTACGTACATAAATAGAAAGTCACTCATACTAATCCCTTCCAAGCCGATAATTTGTAACGAAGTAGTACTTCATTAATTAGAAAAAAAATATATGCTATTGGTATGAAATAAGTTTATTCGCAATAGTCAGTGGGTAACCTTTTTTTTTAGGGGCAGGATTTTTATAAATTGCAAGATCAGCTCTGTTCCTTTCAATGGAGCTATTATTGCTGTAACGATTTTAATAGAAATTAATAGGAATTCTAATATTTTATCGTTCTATCCCAGTTTTGCACCATTTTGTTGTCGGTGTCGCTGGGTCACCATCGTTTCTTTGCTTTAAGAACGAAGTTTCTCAGCAGTTCGTCAATAGAATCCGAGAGCTAATTAAAGTTTTCTGAACACTATTCGATTGGTCGATCGTCTCAAGGGATCGACCACTTATTTCCAGGTATTTCTGGGTACAACTTTACATAACGTTGAAACGAGTAGTAAAATGCATTAAAATTCATAATTTCAATTTAAAATAATTTCATTTATTCATAATCAGCTTGAAAACAATGCAATCAACTCATCAAATTTGTTGTTGACATTAAATAAAAATGTACTTAGTTAATTATATGAAATTTTAAATTCATATAATAACCGAGAATGATTTTATCTCGTAAAACTCTGTTTTGATTTATAAAATACCTTTGGGACAAGCCTGTATAGTACATTATGGTCAATAATTCGTTTTCTCAGGCTCGTTTAGTGGACGTGAGGGTACTACTCATTTCCAGCAGGCAGGTCACGTTCGCTTATAACCGATCAAAGATCGATACGATCGATTCGTTCCAGTTTCATCGTAGCATCGCGTTTTATCGGATCTGTATCCTTTCCTTAGCAGAGATCGTTGTCTGATCTCTCGAGTGCGTTCAGCTTTCCGTCGATCTCGCATTTTTAAACTGCTGATTCGACGGGCGACGATTTATCTCGGACACTGCAACGACAGGCAAACATTATTACGCCTTGTTATCGAGACTCGAAGCTCTACGTGCTGTACATCGTTCACTTTCTTTTTTCCTTTGCCACCTTTTCACCATTATTTCCCGCCTAATGACGACAGTGCTGTTTCTTTTCACTTACGATGAAACGCGCTGGAATATTCGTTTCTGATTTTTTAAGCGGGTGAAAATAAATGGCAAGTAATCTTTTAAAATTACTGATTCATTTTTAGAAGACGGATAACACATAAAAATACATTTTATAAACACATATTTTTCTAATTTTTTATTATTTTATTTGGAAATATTAATCTTGCGGAAAAATACGTTACAATTTTGTGTAATTATTACTCTCGAAGTTCTTTATAATTGCCTTATAATTAAGTATGAACGAAGTCGGTTTTCTCTTTCTTTATAAGAAAAATGAATGGACCAAATGCTCTCAAACTTTTTAGAACTCAATGTATATTTATCATGACATTGAATAGTAATAATGAAATTTAAAATAAACTTTTCACTTAGCCAGACTTGTCGAGGGTCATTAAAAAACAGAACATTAGATTTCAATTAACAATTTCCGTTACTGTTAATCGCAGCAACCGGGTCAAAGTGTCGCGCGTAGGAATCAAGATAAACGTAACCGGTAGGTAGGTACGGGCTGGGCCAAAGTTTCCTAAGATGTAATTATTCACTGCTGAGTCCTTTATAATAATGACAAATGACTGTAGATGCCCGTTTCAAGCTATCCTTTGTGTCGACGACTAGAAATAGCGGAATTTCAACGATTCGGCTGCGCCTAACGATCCTTTAATTCGTCTGTATCAAACTACGGAACACGAGTACCGTATTAAATCGTACCAATGGCATTTTACTCGAGACATTTTCGATTTTCTCGAAACTCGAACGGTCACAGGTGCTTTTAACAATACTAAACGACAGAATAATAATTGAATTATTGAATACGTATATAGATTTTGTCAAATTATTTTAATAAATTCTAAGGAAAGGGTTTTGAACGTCACAAAAAATCTCATACCTTTTTTTTCTATTTTATTTTTCTATAGTTTCATCATTTTTCTTTGCTTATTAAAAAACGATGTCAATCGTCTCGACCTCAAGATGTAAGATATATCTCATATTCTTTGATATCTGAAAAAAAAATGATTAAGCTTGTGTACTTTCGGCCTTCGGTTGAAATCTAGGACACTTTGAGATCGCAACGTCGTCTTCCAGAACGAAGTTTTTATTCCTTCAGGGTTTTTCTGCGTACTTGGGATGTAGCTGTCCATGGCGTACTAGCATTCTCTTTGAAATGTAGTACATCTGAAAAGTGATTATCTCGGCAGGTGTGCATCAAGAGAGTGGCTGTCGTCTATCCAGGAAAATGATGTTTGAATTCGAGTACATACGAGGCCAGGATGTCCGATTTACATTGAATTTACATTGCTATAAGCCGTCTTCGTATTTCAGATCGACACGTTGCAAGAATTCTACATCGTAGAATCTCTCAGGAATAGCCTTTCATGTGATATTATACTGCAAGATAATCTTAACTCTTTTAACCAAATGATCGTGGTTCATGTTTCGTTTCTTTTCTCCATTTATATGCCACATTTAGATTTTCAAATTTGAAATTAGGTTCATAGTTAATTTTTATACTTTAGTGAAAAATTGTTATGATTGGAAGAGATATATGAATTTATCACAACCGGGCCGTTCGGATTGGTCGAACATTTTTTATCCATTGGCTACTAGCCGTCGAGTCCCTAGCCGGGAGCCAATCAGCGCGCGGCAACCGATTCGGCGCCTCTGATCGTTCTGAAGGCGGTTGCGTTCAGTTGCGTCGCCATTACGTTCGTTATTGCGTTTGTCTCTATGCGTTACGTTTTATTTTGTGGCATACATACATTTAATAAAAGTGTTGCCCTTAGCAAACGTATTATTTTTTACCGCAAATAGTGCTCTAAGAACACGCACTTGCCAGGCTCACTCGAAACTCGAGGTGGAGTCGCTGCAAGTTAAATCGGGAGCTCCTAACCTCCTGAAGATCTACCAGCTATGATCGAATATTAAGGTGAATTGATTTTTTTTTTTTAATATTCACAAAAATGTTTTAGAGTTGTGTTAGGAAATTCTGTTGTACAGTATCGAACATAGTAGGCGTTCTTAAGGAAAATATTATGTCTCAGCATTCTATTCTAGAACACCTACTAATAATCAGATTGTATGATTTCAGGTGTCCTGGGCCCGCAGACGAGGCGAGGAGCTTCACTTGCTCACCTACGGTCCGGACACATACTCAAACGACGCCAGGTTCTCGTTGGAGTTTGAGAAGCCGAATGATTGGCGGTTGCTTTTGAGCACGGTGACCGAACGAGACGGTGGCCTGTACGAGTGTCAAGTCAGTGCTCATCCTCCATTAGTCAGAACTGTCCATCTCACGGTATCAGGTAAGTAACTATCTGTATACGTATGTCTGGTTGTTTGAGTAAATGTACTGGTTCGCGCCTAATTCTTTTCTAATAGGTCCACTACGTGAACGAAACTAAATGCGATAAATCGAGTATCGCTGTCTTATTCTGCTAGGTCAAAATTCAGATTTAAAATGTTTTTTCATTTCAAAGCTTAAAATCGAAAATTCTAGAATTAAATTTTTCGTGCCTTAAAATACAAAATTTCATGCAATATGGAATAAATATTCACTTTCGACGTATATTACTCTCTATCCATATTACATTCAGCTTTTATTACATTATATTACCTGCATTCTTTCAACCTATATTACATTTTACTATAAAAGGGTATGCTCGTATACCGAATAACGAAATAAACGATAAATTTCTCTCTAGCTTGTACTTCCTTATTTGCACGCAACAAAAACATGCATTTGCATGAACATTCATTGTCTGGTTATCAGGATCGACCAGCAATCACGGTTGCAATTTCTAGCATGGTCGTTGTAGAACGTATGCCCTTTGATCTTGACGACTTCCGTGTCACCGATAAATCAGCCTCCACCCACCTGGCACGGGCACTGTTCAAAATCAGACAGTTTGACGCGATAGATCTTCGCTAATCAACCGTAACGAGAATTTGACGTGGGAAGGGATACCGTGACGATTATCGGTTCTCCGTTTTTCGTTGCTAGATAACGGAGAATAGCGACCACGTTTCAAATGATTCTGACGCTGATCAGGCGTAAATTTCTGCTTTAAAACGATGGAACGGTGTTACGCTCGTTCCACTTCTTTCGCTCTCTCGTCTTTGATAAGGGAGGATTTGGAGTAGAAAAGGGAGGATGTGAAATTAGGTCAGACCGGTTTGCCAGTTTACGTCTGTTAAGGTTTTTCTTATGTTCTGCACGGAGATTGGATCTCGCGCTTGTTTTTATAGAGAAAAAAAGCACTATTTCTTTTCGCTTTCGTTAAATATTTATGGTACATGTATAATTTATTGAAATAAATTCAAGATTTCTTTGGAAATTAATGGATCGAATAGTTTCTGCGGTTATTATTAATTCTTAAACGATATAACAATTAAGTTTCGCAAACGTTTATTTATTTAAAGTTTAATCTAAACACTTACCATGTTTTATTAAAAGGCAGCTATGACTCAAATTACACCACGTGTTACTTGGTGGTCCTAATAAGGGCGCAGGGACCATTAAATATTAAACTGCTATGTTCCAAGTGACCACGGGGGTTCGGTTATTAGATACACGCGGTGGTTCCCCGTGGAAACGTTGTAATTTCGGCTTGTATCGTCGAAATTATAATTCTCTCCAGTGTCGTTAAATCGGCCCAAATAAAATGCCAGGTAGTGTCTCAGTCCACATTTTTGGAGAAGGGGGTTTATCAATTTTCATGAAATATATTGGAAATTTTGAAAATCAAGGGCTCAGGTGGTTCAGTTTGCAAAATATCACGTTTAAAAAGGTTAATCGGTTAATATCAGGCTAGGTATCTCGTTCGTGATTGTGAAGGAGTTAATTTAACCCAGCTAGGTATAGTTAGTAAAGTTGACCGTTGGATACATAATCCACGAAGCATTCTGCGGAACATTTTCTGGTGGATCATAAATCACGGAGGTTCGAGTCGTTAGGGTCGTCCTTGTCGTGGTATAATGGCGATCTTGGAGCTGTAACGATGTCCTTGTGGCACTCACGACCCCACGGTACATACACCCCTTAATTGGAGTCCCGTCTGCTCTTTGCCTTTCACTCCCACCTCTTGCTTGCTCTTATTAATCCTGCAAGTTTCTGCAAAAATCCTATGAAAAAGGAGAAGAGGAAAGATTTAACAATGTAGAAATATGTGTTACGCTCATTAAAATCAAGTAAAAACGTTCTGGAGATGTGAGAATTTATTCGAATAGAAATGGAGATGTTTTCATGAGACTCCGAGGAAATTAGAGTTTCTAAAGAAGAATTAATGCATGTTTGAGAACTTTAAATCCTTTTCATTTATTTTCACCATCGTGGTTCGAATAATTTCTTATCAACAAATTAGTCTGCCATTTTTCTAGTATTTTATAATAGGTCCTATAATAGGTCCATAAACGTGACACGTTCAGAATATTCGCTAAAAAATTTGTTGCCTGGTGAAACATTTTTCCCCTGATATTTTCGAATATTCCATTCACGAAGTTTAATTCAATCTGCCGCTAAGCTGGATGGTCGTTAACGAAAAAGTGATACCCGGGAGACGGTTCACAAGCGGTCAAATATGTATGAATTTTGGTGAAAAGTGAAGCAATTGAATGGCACGCTAACGAAAACTCTCGTAGATGGTTCGTGTATGTACAGAGATGTGCGTGCAACAACCGCTGTATTGCTTGCGGATTCAACGATGCGTGTCGTAAAGTGGCGGTTTACGATGGCAACGACTCAAAACCGTTTGGTTCAACTGTGCTACATAAGGATAATGTGTCTCGCTACGAGTCGGCCATTAAACTTCACGTTTTCGTACCCAGGGGTTAATATTCCTTGACCCCGTTTCTCTTCCTTCTTTCTCTCGCTCTGTTTCGTTTCGGTCAGCAAAACATCCTGCTTACACAGTGGGTGAAAATCACGAAACCACTGGAAAAATCGAAATCTAAACAAAACTTTATTAACCAAGAGCAGTTGGGGGTAAATTAATGTATTTCTTTTTGAAACGTAAATAACTTTTCACAAATCTTAGATATCATTTATGATATAAAATTTTATTTTATCTACTTTGTGTAACAATAAATTAATCTAATTAAGAAAATTTAAAAATATAGGTAATCACTTGATGTTATATTATATCATTGGTCAAGTAAGAGCATGGAATTTTAAAGATGTTAATTTTCTTCTGTTCAAAAGGTGTAGAATTATGATTTTTTTACGAGACGAAATAACGAACAGTAGAACAAGATTTAAACTGAAACTACGTTTCATAGTCAAAGTGGAAAATGAGAAAGAGCAAAAAGCTTTTGTCGCTAATGAACGTACGCGTGGCCTCTCAAAGTAAATCATTAATTGTGTCGAAAAGGGGAAGAGAGCGTGCATTTTCGCGCTAGACTGACTTCCATAAATTTGGCACACGTACCCACATGGTAAATCGCTTTTTCGATCTTGCATATAAATTAAGAGAATGTTAACGCGTAAATAATTTTAGACGAAAATCGGAAGATAACGATTAAAATAAATTAATTTGTTCATTCAGTTGTGAATTTTCATTTAAACTAAGAGTTAAATCGACGATTTCGAAATTTTCGCAAAAATTACTAACCGGGAAAACGAACTTTATTTTATTTATAATTCCAAAATCCGTAGAATAGAATCGTTTTTTTAAAGTAAATATTCTGAGATCTTGCAAATCTGCATTTTGAATTTGAGAATCTTTTTATTTCAGTTTGAAAATTTGAATTTTGATGTTTAACTTAAATTGCTTAAGTGGTGCTGTTTAAAAACCCCTACCATATTATTCGATTTATGCATTCGAAATAATGAAATATACATTAGAAGCAAGAAATAAAAAAGTATAAGGGTATTGAAAAAGTGAAAGATTGAATCAATCATTATGAAAGTGTTTGATCGCTTATAAAGTTCCACATACATATAAGAATCGCGTAGTTTCGAATCTTTGATACTTTGCTAGTGAATAAATCGTCCATTTATCATGATAAATTGAGTATCTATCCGTAAAAGAATTTCCCAAAGACTGTTGAACGAGACAGGAACACGTAACCTTGGGTAGCTTTACATTTTATGTAAGAAATAGCAATTCGTTGGAAACGTTTCAATCTTCAGCAGTGCTTTATGTAATCATCATCTTATTTTATCTCTTGAAAGAAGAAAATCAGATAATAAACTGTCATTGAAGAAAACAATAATGAACAAATAAAAATAAAAATAATTTGAATGAAAATGTATAAATAAGATGTTCACGGTTTACGAAATGTAAGAAACAAGTATTTAATACGTGATAACCAGTATATCAATTATATATTCAATAAAGAAAAATTAGTTGGGTCTTGAAGGGGTTAAGTCAGATTGTTCAATGAGAAGAGTCACATATGGTGGTATTATTACGATTGGAATTATCGAGAAAACGAATCGATACATCGTTAAAATAGTAATACGCATATTATCAGCTGTGTATCGAGGACAGTTTTAACGATAGCCGCATTGCGAAAAAAGTGGAAGCGAAGTGTAATTTCGCTCGTGGGATTATTGGACGGAATATTCGCACGAATCAACCGTGTAATGACGATTATAACCGTATCGAGGTAATTTTACGGTGTATCGATCGAAAGATTTGAAAAATTGAAGTTGTCTCTTTTGCTTTCAAGTTATAGACGGTTTAAAGTACTTCGTTAAAATTAGGTTTTCATCGGATCGATTTTTGCTTTTAAATCATACATTTCAGATAAGTAAACATTTGGAAAAATATTACATGAGTGAAAATTAGCAACTGCCTTTTTTTAAAGGGTGATTCTATGTAAAGAAATAAATAAAAGATGTAGGTTAAGTAATTTCCATTGTTTTTTACATTAAAAAATTATTCTGTCACGAATACTAGTGCCATTACTTTGTTACATATAAATAGTTTATGTAACTTGGAAAGCTATGCTCTTGGTAGTCGGTTAGCGTCAGTGGCAGTTAGTTCACGTCAGAAATTCGGTAAGTCGATTTAACTGGAACTCCGTTATGCTTTGTCCTATCACAAGAAACTATAACCAAAATATGATTTATGGTTACCATGTAACTTGCTATCTGCTTCGCTTGTTCGGATTACCATATAAATTGAAGGTTCAATCTTCTTTTCGTAAACATCCTCGGAGATTCTTCCACTATAATACTTTTCTTCCACAAAAACATCATTATTTGCATATCTAATATATCGTGTATAATAATATTAGAAATAACGTGAAAAATAAACTTCTCGCAGACCAAGTTTCGAAAGTGTTAATATAGTGATTATAG